GTTCCAAAGACTGAGCACCATTTACAAAGAAATAATAAAAAATAAAAAAAAAAATCAAGTTGATGTGTACCTGCCAATTACGTTGTTGTGCCTCCTCAAATCCAAGTGTGTTAATTTCTTCAAAGCTAAAGCTGAAATCATAGTTCTGGCGGGCAAGGTCAGTATGTGGAAGTTCTGGACCTGGCATTAGACGCCGGCTAATCTCATTGTGAGCAGCTACATTTCTGACTGGCTCAGTCATACGAGTATCATCATGATGTATTTGTGTCTCACCGCTTCTCATCTCTTGAAGCTTTAGAATAAATAAAATGCAGACAGAATTACTTGACAAAGCAAATACAATTCACTGGTGCCCCCCTACAATTATACATAGAACGCTATCACCATCACATATCAAAACAAACCGGAAAGTATGACAACAGTTTCTTTTCAAGTTTCATAGCTCATTTTCAGGCTCACGTGTCAGGTTAGCAGGCTGGAGATATAAAGGGGGAATGTTGAGCAACCTCCTTTTGCACCTGTCATCCTACTGCCTTACATGTTTTTTTCATGGCTTACAAAAGAGCAGTACTGATAGAATGTGCAGATTCTCAATCATCATAAACAACACTTTACCATTTTGATTTTAATAGATGAAATGACGTAATGATCACCTCAAGTGCCAGATCAATTTTTTCCTATAAAACAAAGTCCGACAGAGGAAGGTTTGCAAAGTAGGGAATGCAACTACAGAGTTTTTGCCACCAAGCCCCTGGAGAATAGAAGAGGTCAATTGGTGTATTAACCTGATATCTACTCAAATCTGAAATATCAGTTTTGTTTAACAGAAGCTATATCTGTTTCAATACAAGTTTTCAACAAGAGATGTACCGCTGGATACAGCCATGTAATCTAAGCACTGGCAACAAATTACTACATGTGCTGCTTTTTAAATGCAGATGAAAAGGGGAGCATTTTAAAAACACATTAAGAGAATGCCCATGTTGTACTTAGGAGTGGTGGGAGAGGTTATTCCGGGTGACTTCACAAATCATAATCTCTCTTAGGGGAAACCAGCACTGGTCTAGGAAATTTCAGCCTAACCAATCAGCTTTGCCCTCTGGAAAGCTTAGGCTGGGAATATACATAATGGGGTCTGGAAGACTTTATAGATGAAGGTTGTTGCCGGATCTTACTATAAACTGGCTGTATATTCTAAATACATCTGTAAGCAAATGCACGTGGATTGGTGGGTGTGATAAATATGAGAGGAGTAAGTGGAGATGCATAAAATCTTCAAGAGTGCAATACTAGGAATTACAGTACTCTCAAATTGAAGCTTTCCATTTGACAAGAAGCAAAATCAGAGAAATGCAGGAAAAGTATACAGCTAGTAGGTACAGGCCAGGCACTGAGACCCAGCCTTTAATAAGCAGCACTAGCTACAATATACCACATGCAGTCAGTCAATTGACAAATCAGCAGACCTAGCAAGTAAAAATGAGAGCAGAATCCTTACTGCGCTCTTGAAGAGGTGCCAGTCACCGAAGTTCATGCTCATCTCCTTCTTCAGCTCATCCATGCTGCACTGTACCAGGACACGACCATTGATGTTTGCCTGCAGAGGAGACAGAAGAAGTCAGTGACAGCAGGACAACTCTGCCTTAAGCTCAGATAGCAAAGATAAATTCTACCTGCAATGGCATAGTTGTCAGTAGCAAAATGTTCACAACGCTAGCAATCCAACCGTTCTATTCATTCCATAATGACACTGAAAATGTACATTTATTGCAATAAAAATAAACTTTACGTATTAGGGAATTTATGTGAACTGGCTCTATTATAAAGTTAGCTGACTAAAGGAACTGGCACCAAGTTACTGTATATAACTTGTTTTTTGAAAGTGTCCTCCTGAGCACCCCAAATACCAAAATGTGGTTCTCTATATGCCAATATTAAATTCCAGAACTTGTATCACTGACTTGTTCCCCCTCCCGATGCAAAGCATCCCTCCACCTTGATCAGGACACAGGACTCTGTACTAGGTGATGTGTGTGGGTAACGGAGCTCTGAGTTTGAAGCTGGGGTCTGCAATGGTCACAAAACCAAAAGGTATATGCAGGCATATCTTAGGGACTGCTTTTCAAAGGTCAGACTGGCTTCACAGCTGAGAAAGTTGCGTTTAAAAATGGTCATGTATTATTCCAAGGATAATTAACACCTAGATGAAGGAAGGCTCAGCATTGTAGGAACTGGATCACAATTGAACCCATGTCCCACTTTCCTTTTGGCTTGAGAGGGTGGTTTATATAGACAAGAAATACCTCTAAAAAATCTGCTACTAGAGTGTAAGGAATGCTAGATGTGTGAAATTTAATAAGGGGGTTCTATGGTAACAGCATACACTTTCATTTTATAACATCAGCTTTGTAATGTAAACAGCTGTATTTGGCACACCAACATAAGCTTGCATGAAAAATCTCCATTCATATTTTGAATGCTGCCTGTCTGCTGGCCATCTCTTTAATCAGCTTCATGGATTCTCTGCATACTTTGCAGCTTCTCCTCTGCTGTTTACTTTCGGTTTCTAAAGACTACTTATCCAATGGTACCTTGCTGCCTGCAAACTGTTATTCCTGTGTGGACTCCACCTCCTGACACTCATTTTCTCAGTACCTCTGTAGTTCAGAAGGCAGGCTCTGTGAAAGGTCTGACACAGCAATTCCTACTCACAGGGCATAGTGACTACGTGTCACAGAATTCAAGGAGGTAAATGTGTGTGGAGCTTCACAAAGTCTACAAACTTCAAGATCGTTCAAATTAATGGGAGTAGACTAGAAATTATTGAAATATAACGTGGAAATGAATATATGATTTTACAATTTGGCCATAGATACACTTGAAATTTAAAATGATTAAAAATAATGCATTAAAACTCACCTTGCGGATGGTTGCAGTGTATTGTGCTAACATACTCTGATCAATGCCATCAATTTGCTTCAGCTTTTCACACACTGCATCCACATTCAAGACACTCAGTGCAGAAGAGTGTGCAGTTGCCACAGCACCACCACTAACCTGCTCATAGATGAACACAGTGTAAGTAGAGAAAACAAAGCCAAACAGATAAGCTAATCAAATAAGCAAATAAAAAGCCATGTTCCCTCATCATTATAACCCGGGTCCATTAGATACAAAGCAGGTGATCCTTCTGCAAATCTGATTTCAACTTTCAGCTAGCACACAGTAATTCAGAAAGCATATATATTTTAGGTAATTACATCTAACGGAAAAGTGATTTCATTATGTTTAAGAGAATACATAACTAAAGAATGTAGTTTTTCATCAAAAAGTAATTGTACTTCTAAAATACATTAACATTATTAATTTACATAGGTATTTGAGCATCTCTGAGCAACAAAATGAAACACGTGATCATTACTCCCCTCCGAGCCCAGTCCAAAAAAAAAACCACAGCTATTGTGATGGATTGTTGATCACATAATAAATATCTGTCTTTGTAAATATAACCTCTTATGTCCCATTTATTCCCCTCTTGTCAACAAATGCCTCGGTCAGTGTAAAAAAACTGCTCTGTTTGCATTCAGCTTTCTGCGGCAGCACTATAACGGCAGAGAAGATATGAAATCGAAGAAGGAATCAGATTCAACACATTTGGTGTCAGAAGCCAAAAATGAAGGTGTCTATACTGTTCTCAAAGAATCTCTAGAGAAAGGCTGCCAACTGCTGGAAACAGGCATCCCCTGAATAAAATGAATTACCAGCACAGACAGCACATGCCTTCAGACCAAAACTGAGGACAAGGATGACACTGGAAAACACTAGCAGTAAAATGAATTAAAAGGTTGGAGTAAAACAACAGAAGTCAGTAATCAGTGGGCACTGTTAAAGTCTACCATCCTGGAGGCAACTAGATTGTATGCCAGGCAAATTAGTAAGAGTAAAGGAAAGAAAAAAAAAAAGAACAGTATGATACATTAAAGATGCAGGTAGGATAGTAAAGGGGAAAAAAACAGCATACAGGAGATTCAAGAAAACTGGAGGTGTATCTAATTTAAAAAAAAAAAAAAAGTAAAAAATAGAAAAAGGAGGCCAAACACATTATCAGTGCTGTCAACACACAGAAAGAGGGAGAAATGGCTAAATCTAGTGAAGTAGACAGCGGTAAACTAGTAAGCCTTATTTAGGTAAATCAGCAATGAAAGGAAAAAATAAAAAGGGATCACCTTAAAAGGTAAACTGGGCACAATACTTACACTATACTGCCAAAAGTATTGGGACGCCTGCCTTTACATTCACATGAACTTTAATGACCTCCCAGTCTGGGTCCGCAGGGTTCAATATTGAATTGCTTCACCCTTTGCAGCTATAACAGCTTCAACTCTTCTGGGAAGGCTGTCCACAAGGTTTAGGAGTGTGTCTATGGGAACGTTTGACCATTCTTCCAGAAGCACATTTGTGAGGTCAGAGACTGATGTCCAACAAGAAGGCCTGGCTCACAGTCTCCGCTCAAATTCATCCCAAAGGTGTTCTATCAGGTTGAGGTCAGGACTCTGTGCAGACCAGTCAAGTTTCCTCCACCCCAAACTCGCTCATCCATGTCTTTATAGACCTTGCTTTGTGCACTGGTGTGCAGTCATGTTGGACAGGAAGGGCCATCCTCGAAATGGTCCCACAGAGTTGGGAGCATAAAACTGTCCAAAATGTCTTGGTATGCTGATGCCTCAAGAGTTCCCTTCACTGGAACTAAGGGGCCAAGCACAACCCTGAAAAACAATCCCACACCATAAATCCTCCTCCACCAAACTTTACACTTGGCATAATGCAGTCAGGCAAGTACAGTTCTCCTGGCAACCACCAAACCCAGACATGTTCATCGGATTGCGAGACAGAAAAGGTTGGTTTGTCACTCCAGAGAACACGTCTCCACTGCTACAGAGTCCAGTGGCGGCATGCTTTACACACCGCTGCATACGACAGTTTGCATTGCACTTGGTGATGTAAGGCTTGGATGCAGCTACTCGGCTATGGAAACCCATTCTATGAAGCTCTCTACGCACTGTTGTTGTGCTAATCTGAAGGCCACACAAAGTTTGGAGGTCTTTAGCTATTGACTCTGCAGACAGCTGGCGACTTCTGTGCACTGTGCACATCAGCATGCGCTGCCCCCGCTCTGTCATTTTAATTGGCCTACCACTTCGTGGCTGAGTTGCTGTTGTTCCCAGTTGCTTCCACTTTGTTATAATACCACTAACAGTTGACCGTGGAATATTTAGTAGCAAGGAAATTTCACGAATGGACTTATTGCACAGGTGACAACCTATCACAGTACCACGCTTGGATTCACTGAGCTCCTGAGAGCGATCCATTCTGTCACAAATGTTTGTAGAAGCAGTCTGTATGCCTAGGTGCCTGATTTTATACACCTGTGGCCATGGAGGTGATTGGAACACCTGAATCCAATTATTTGGAGGGGTATCCCAATACTTTTGGTAATATAGTGTATGTTGAGGGAGACCTGGATGTAGCAAACCATTTAAACAATTACTTCTTTCAGTCTTCTCAAAAATAAATTGTACTAAAAAGTTGGGCGATCATATTGGTTCTAGTAATGATGGTTCATTTTCAGAATTTTAATGTTTGAAAAAAAAAAAAAAAAAAAACATTTAAAGCCTAAGTTTAATTTAAAAAAGGGGGGGGGCATTACATATTAGCATTGTCATGTGTCCCCTACGCTGCTGGCTTTGCTTTAGTTTAAATCTTCCTTCTGATATATGAATGGAGGAGAGGCAGATGAATGAAAGGTCCGCCTCCCCCATTCACAGAGAGTTCCTCGTATATAGAAGCTATAGCACAGCTTCAAATACAGGAGGTGCACTGAAAAGGTGGACATAGTTGGCACTCTGGATGGGTGTATATGACAGGACCCTCTGCTTTGTTAGCCCCTGCCACATCAGAAAATTACAGTGGAGGGGCTGGGGGGGGGTTCAGAGGAGCAAGATTTCAATTAGAACAGAAGCCAGCAGCACAAGAGACACATAGCACTGGTAGTAAGTAATGCTCTTTGTGCAGATTTGTTGTTTTTTTTTTTTTACTAAATTTAGGCTCCAATTACTAGAATCAAGTCTGGCTTCTCACTCTTCTAATATGGAGGAACCCTTAAATTAACTGTATGGTCTTATAGTAACTACTAGCAGGGGTTCTCTATCTATAACTCATGGTACATTACTGTGAGTGAAAAGAATGCTTTATACATTTGTGGTCAGTAAGAAGAATCTCTATTTACAGATAGCTGAAAAGATCATTGGTTTGAGAGATTACTTATCTGAGAGATAGAAATTGCTCATTGCTCAAGGAACTACTAGCAACCTTTGGAGGAACCCTGGCTGAGAAGAGCTGATCCAGCCTGAAGGACTGGTTCAGTCTAGGTTCACACTTTACCGCATTCCTGTGCAAATCACATGCAATGTCTGTGGGGTGAAATTTGAGCCATACATTTTGTATGGCTCAAAACGCATCACATCTACACCAAAAAGGTGCAGGACCCTTTTTTCCCCCCGCACCCGATTTGCATTGTATGGGTGTTCACATCCATGTGATGCAAATTTTGGCAATCACCCTGCGTTTTGTGATTTCTTTTGGGGTTCGTTAATTTAAGACACACGCACCAGATCGTATGGATGCTGTGCGATTATAATGTGGTGCAGGAAATGCACAGGATTCACTGTGTTTCCCTCACCGCATTAGTGTGAACCAGTTCTCACTGACCTGAGTAGCCACCAACCCCAAATTTATGGTTCTTCAAAAATTAAAAAGAAAAGTATTTTGCTGTGACACACAGACATTACTAAGCCCTTCCTTCTTTACAAAGACAAACTACCTATTCAACAAATACAATGGTTTCTAAGTAGAAAGTTGTTAGTATCCCAAGAAGAGACTATAAATAACTGGATCACAGTGATACCTCAAACTATTTTCTGTAATTAGTAGGACACCTCTTCAACGCTGAAATCAGTCAGCCTATTTGAATGGGAAAATTGTCACACTGCTGTCTGGTATTGTAAGCACCACACCAAACATGGACCAGGGAGGGCAACAGAGAGTTGTCTAAGGAGATCAGAAAGAATTGTAGACAAGCATGTCAAAGATGAAGGCTATAATGTGCTGTCACATGGTAACATATGACAATTCTCTATATTCCCACGTGCACTTTTAGTGGGTATTGAAAACGCTCAATAAAGTTTTACTATTATTAAAAAAAAATAAATTAAAAAACGATAAATTCTACAAGACCCTCCACAAGCAGCTTAGTGTTCCTGTGACTTCACTTCATCAAAAGACATTGATGGTCTATGGGAGTGTAGCCAAACTCCCTGCATGTGGCCACAAGAGGAAAACCAATCCCAGATTAAACAGATTCATAATGTGAATGTGAGATACTAAATGAACTTCAAGGTCAAGGTACATCAGTTTTGAGAGGCATTGGATTGAAAGGAGAAGATTCAGAAGGAATCCAGGCTTAAATTTGCTAGAATGCATAGTGAGGAGCCACAATGCTTCTACGAGAATGTCTTTTCGACAGATGAGAAAATGTCGTTTTTTGGCAAGTGACATCAGCACAGATGAAAAAATTAAGTTTCTAAAGAAAGGGTGGTGATACATACTTTGAAACATGAAGGAAGCTTGGTTATGTTTTGGAGCTACTTTGCTGCGTCTGGAAGCGGTGCCTTGAATCTGTGCAGAGGACAATTAAACCTTGAGACTATCAGAAGTGGAAACCTACTGCCTAGTGTCAGAAAGCTCTGTCTCAGTCATTGGACCGGAGTTCTCCAACAGAATAATGACTCAAAACACACAGCTAAAATACCAAAGAATGATTCAAAACAAAACACTAGCCTACTCTTAAGTGGCCTTTTATGAGCCCTGATCTGAATCCTATGTAACATCTATGAAAAAAGGTGAAACAAGCAGTCTAGTGGGGGCACCCTTCAAACCCAAGACATCTGGAGCAGTTTGCTCAAGAAAATTGGGCAAAAAAGCTACCCGATGGCAAATGCAAAGTCCCACTGAGAGCTACAAAAATTGCTTGTTTGCAGTGATTGCCTATAAAGGTTGTGCAACAAAATATCAAATTAACCACTTGCCCTCTAGAGGATTTACCCCCCTTCCTGAGCAGGCCATTTTTTTGCATTATGGCGCTACTTCACTTTAACTGCCAATTACGCGATCATGCAATGCTGCACCCAAATGAAATTTAAGTTCTTTTTTCCCCCACAAATAGAGCTTTCTTTCAGTGGTATTTGATTGCCTGTGCAGTTTTTAATTTTTTGCGCAATGAAAAAAAAAAAAAAAAAGACTTTCAATTTTGAGAAGAAAAACAATATTTTTGACTTTTTGCTATTAAACATGTCCAGTAGCAAATTTTGTCATACATTTAGACCAAAATGTATTCTGCTACATGTCTTTGCTACAAAAAATCCCAATATGTGGAAATGAATTGGTTTACGTGAAATTTATAGTGTTTACCAATGGCGGTATAGACACTGGGATTTTTTTTTTCAGCGCTTTATAGCGGGACTGCGGCAGACATTCTGACACTGGGGGGAACTGACTTGGTGTCACTGACATCTCCAGTGACACCAATACAGTGATCAGTGCTCATAAAAAGCACTGACACTATACTAATAGCACTGGAGCAGGAAGGGGTTAACATGTGGGACGATCAAAGGGTTAACTGCGTGCTGTTTTTATTTGCGCTGTGTGCGTGCTTCACTGTAAGAACAGTGCTTTGCATGGCTCTGCAATGCAAAGTCATGAATAGCAGTGTGTAGGAGCTGACAGAGGAGAGAACTGTGTTGTTAATTTACAGTTCTTTCCCTCTGTTGGTAATGCTCCTTGATCACCGGGACCCGGTGAATAATCGCCGCCGGCACCTGGTGATTGACAGCCAAGGCCGCGAATAGAAGCGCAGGTAGGGCGTGCATGCCCCCTACCCTGAAATACAAAATCACATATATACGTATATATATATATATATATATATATACATATATATGATTTTGCGATTTTGCGCACCTGTGCTGCCTTGTAGCAGTATTACTGCTACAGAGTGGATGGAAAGCAGTTAAAGTGATAAGATTTGTTTTTTAAATTAAAATAATATGTTATACTTGCCTGCTCTGTGCAATGGATTTGTACAGAGCATCCCCCAAAACTCCTCTTCTGGGGTCCCTTGCTGGCACCTCCTCTTCGACAAGTGCCTCCATAGAAAGCCGCTGTCCGCATCTATTGACACAGTGTGGCTAAGCCCCACCTCCTCGTCACAGGTTTTGATAGACAGCTACCAATCTGCCCAGTGAGAAGTGACAGTGCTGGGATAGCAGCTGCTCTCATGCATAGTACTGGATCAGGAATGGGCTCAGGTAAGTATAAGAGGGGGCTTGAGTGGGATTCTGTGACACAGAAGGTTTTTTTTTTTTACCTTAAAGCAGTTGTAAAGGCTCAAGGTTTTTTACCTTCATGCCTTCTTTGCATGAAGGTAAAAAACCTTCTGTGTGCAGCAGTGCGCCCAGTCCCCTTAATATTTACCTGAGCCTCATTGCAATCCAGCAATGTGCACAACAGCCTCAGCTGTCCTGGGTCTCTGCCTCCTCATTGGCTGAGACAGCAAGTGGGAGCCATTGGCTCCTGCTGCTGTCAATCACAGCCAGTCAGCCAATGAGGAGAGAGGGGGCGGGGCCGAGCCACACCACGGCGCTGTGTGTGAATGGACACACGGAGCTGTGGGTGCCCCCATAGCAAACTGCTTGCTGTGGGGGCACTCGACAGGAGGGAGGGGCCAGGAGCCTGCGGGGGACCCAAGAAGAGGAGGATCAGGGCTGCTCTGTGCAAAACGTAATTATTATTATACAGTATTTATATAGCACTAAAAGGTTTGCTCAGCGCTGTACATTATAGTGGGGGACAGAACATGAGACAATACACTAACGAAACAAAACATGAGGGGGTCAAGGGCCCTGCTCTTTCGAGCTAACATGTTTGTTATTTTACAAAAAAAAAAATTAACCTTTAGTATCGCTTTAATGCATGAAGGCAATAAACCTTCACGTTTTAGAACCACTTTAAGCGTCCCATTGTTTTTTTTGCCTTGGCATTTTTCTTTTGTTTTATTATTTATAATATTTATAATATCAGATGCAAAGCAGTCTGATTTTTCTCAAATATGAAATAAACAGTGATGGATACTGATTTTGTCAATTTCAGGTTATTCCAGAAATATTGTGGTTTTTTTTTTTTTTTTTTTTTTTTTTAATGAATCATCAACAAATTTACTTACGTCTGTAGACTGCGGCAGAGTTTTGGATGGTTTTGTATGTTTTTTATATTGTGAATTTTATTTGTTGGGCGCATGGAAGCCAGTTCAGGGATTGTCAGCGAGAAACAGTGGGCACTGATCAGTTTGTAAGTCAGAGGAGTCTGGCAGCAGCATTTACTATAGATTGAAGGGGGAATTGTA